TTGCAATATGAACCTATTCTTTGCAAGCATCTTGCAGTGTAGCACAGCAGGCGCTGTCCACGACAACTCGATAAGTTTATATAACCCTCTAGGAATTTTGATTTTTCGACGCTAATCGGTGCTCCTTTAGGTCCCAGTACCACGCATGATCCCGAAGGAATTTTTTTGATATCACACCAAGTGTAGGGTGTAGGGTGGGGGTGGATTTGAGTTCAGGGCCCCACCCCCTCCAAATCTTTATTTCCGCCCGGATTGCGCGAGTTAAGCGCAATCAAATCTTGCCCGTCGGTAGCATTCCACAAGACCCTTGGAGGACGCAAGCCGGCAAACAAAAATATTTGCCACTTTCGGAATAAATTAGAAATTTCGTTGGTTTTGATCGAAACCAACACGTCAACTCAATTATCTCGAAAACCTTTATTTTGATTTCGTCACCACTTTGGACCCACCTATAGCTACTAGTCCCAGAAGCATTATTCATGGGATCTCTAGAAGACTATAAAATACAAGGTTTTTGAGATGAGTGCATTGACGTGTTGGTTTCAAAATTATTTCTGATTTATTCTGAAAGTGCAAATATTTTTGTTTGCAGCTTTGCGTTGTCGAAGAGTCTTGTGTAGTGCTACCTCTGCACCCGCGCAATTCGGCGCTCGGGCAGATTTAGTGACTTGGAGGGGGCGGGGCCCGGATCATTAATCCGCCCACCACCCCATGCATCAGTTGATATATCGAGTCCTGTGTGGCACCTGAAGGAGCACTGATTAGAGAAGAAAAATCAAATTTCGCAGTGGGTTTCCTGTTGTCGAGTTGGCGGGGACAGCGTCAGCAGCTATAAGGACCATAATTGAAGTAATACTTTGAAAACTGTTCTATTTGGATGAAAACAAAAAGAGTCGGACGGTTAAAAACCGTAACCGTAATTACGGTTTGTCCAGTTAATTGTTGTCTGGTCCAGGTCATCCACAGCAGAATACCGTAAAGATATATCACCGTAACTCTCCCCGACAAGGGCTGTAGCACAAAAATACTGTAAAAGACCAAGACAGACTGCTGGGTTATAGGAAATTACTGTCATATTCTCTGACAGTGTTGGTGTTGGAGCAGGCAAACTTTTTGATTTGCGTGGAGTGTAGGGTAGAGTACGGTGCGCGATTCAAAAGATTAACGCGTAAAACAAAGGTCTCAAAATTTCAAAGGGGTTGCGCATCACCCATACTTTTGTAAATCGAAAAACGCTGGGACAAATACATCTTTTATCAATACAAAATTATACGGACAGATTACTAAACCTTTTTGGAAACCTGTTCCAATCTAATGATAGTATTAGAACGATTGTGTTGCGTTGCAGAAGCGAATTGATGAAGCTGGCTGAACTCACCCTGTAATTGAAAGAGAACAGATAAAATTTTCATTTCTGTAACCCGTCCTATGGGATCATTTACAGTCTAAATCTCCGATTTCGATGTAACGACACTCAGATTAAAGATAAGTGGGCCATTTCTGGCGACTCGATTCGGAGAAATTGTTGTGGAGCTAGGAGCGCGAAACTTAGGCAACGGGCTCCTGGCTTGTAGCGCGTGAGGCGATGAGTATGAGACCGCCGGAGTCCGCCCACCTCCTAGAGCTCGAGCCTGCTGCAGCCCACCGCCCCTACCGCGGGATCCGGCTCGACGCATCCGTGCAACAAAGGCGGATCAGGAAGTGGTCGCTGAACAACGACGGATCTGCTTTAAGCTGATCTCGGCATACTTGACTTTGAAGGCCGAATATAAACTGCCCCGCAAATCCAGGACGCTCTGTGATGAATAGTTTTCGAGAAATCAAAGTTCTAATAATTTCGAACTACGACCCTACTTTGAAACGATCACTCATCGCAGGGACGTTGTTTCGTTTTCAATGAAACGCCATTTTAATTGTCATTATCTCGTGAATAAAATGGGACAAGGTCCAATACGATGCGATACCTCTAACGTTAAGGAGAGTGAGAGGCCTCCAAAGTCAAGCATGCAGAGATCAGCAAAAAGCAGACACGTCGTTTGTTCAACGTAATTCTGAAGTAAAATGAACAAAACCGGATCCAGAGCGCAGTAGTGGGGGGCCGAGGAGCGAAAGGTTAGCGCTCCTCTCCTCGCGTCCAACCGCAGCTCTGTTGATCGGTTTTTTTTCGTGTTACTTCTTTTTGGAGCTGCATTGAAATAATATATTAACTCATACACGGAAATAGACCCGATTTCGAGTACCCCTTGCACTTGAAATCGTTACGAATTTTTCGATTTTCCCACACTTGCGCGCACCAGGAACCAGGGATGCTGACGGCACGGGGTTGAGGCACGAACGTGCCCTTACGGCATCAACAAGAACACATAGTAAAGCATATCTGTGCCACGTTTCGCGTTCCTAGCTCCACTAATCAAGTTGCCAAAAAATTGCTCATTAATTTTCACATCGTGTGTATGTTAATTTTGTGGTTACCTGCTTAGAAGTCGAGTGGCGGTCGAAATTTGTTCTATAACACTATAAACGACGTCTCAATTTTAGAGGAAAAAGGGAAATTTTTGAGGAACTCCCCTGGTTTGACAAAAACTCAGGTTTCGAAGTCTCCTCAGAAAGTGTCGGCTGGGGCTGGGCCGAGCGCGCATCGTGCTGCTTTGGCCACCATACCACGAGCGACTTTCGCAGCGGCCGGGGGCATTTCGGGCCGCTGACAAGGGGACCTAGGCAAGTGTAAATTCCCGATCGTACCCAAACTCGGTATATTTACTTCTTATCTATGTAGGTGACGAAAGCCGACCAAATTTTTTCCTGAGAGTCATGTGCCGAAACTCCAAGTTGCACTATGCACTATGCGTTCTACGGAACAGGTTTGTGATTTTCGTCATGTCCTCTTTGCGGATATTACGGGAGCAGCACCTTAACTAAAACCGTGAAGAACGCCGGGGAGGAAACTCGATAACACGCGCAAAGATACCATTTTAGTTTTAGAATGTTAATAAAAAAATTGATCGTCTTCATGCTGGATTTAAGTAGTTTTAAAATTCCAAGTGCCACTCGACTTTTATTAATGACGTTATAAACAAATCTGTCGCGTTTCGTTGAAAACGGAGAAAACTAAAAAGTTGTTAGCAGGATAAGTTTAAGCTGTGGTATTTGATTACCATTTAAACTGCGCCATTAGAATAGAGAAGGTCATGAGCGCCACAGCAAGCTGTTAAAAACGACACAAACATTGCAATCGAAATAAATATGTTTGCTAGAATATAGGCTATGCCAGTGGCAAATTTGGAGAAGACTCATGGGAATAACAAAAGCCCACGGCGCATGCGCAGACTACACCAAAAAAATTCAAAATTCTGTATCGTTTTTATGCACTGATTTGCAAATCCGATCTGATAGAAATTTCTGTGTCAAAAACAATCCATTTCCTATAGAATCCACAAAATCTGTTAAAGATAACATATTTTTGTTATCCGTTTTAAAAGTTTGTCCGTTGTTTTACGTTATTTGTACCATATCAGTAAAATTTTGACCAAGTATGTCTAAAAACTTAAATTATCCAGGGGAGAGCAAAGTAGGCTTGTAATTGATCTGCAAGATTGAGTTTTTAACATAGACCTACACCTTTCAGTCCTTTTCCATTTAGTTCTTCAAATGATGTATAACGTTTTGTACTTCACGCTGTGTAGTTAACATGCATAGGAGAGCAGGGAAGGGACATTCGCCAATTTTTTTTCTGAGATAAAATTTGACCAAGAGGCGAATGTCTACAAAAAAAATTGACCAAGGGGCGAATGTCCACATATGTTTTGACCAAGTGGCGTATGTCTATGGATGTTTCGACCAAGAGGCGAATGTCGTCAGATACTTTCCCTTGGTAGCACAGAACAACTGTCGTACGACTGTCGGCCAACAGTAGAAAAAAGATACGAACTATTGGTGCGATATACGAAATGAGGAAAATGATTCTATCGGTATACTATCTCTTATTTTCGAAACGAAAATCTTGATCGGCCAGCTATCGTTCTGGAAATGAAAAACCACTGTTGAGGATTCGATCAGGAATCGATCAAAATACAACAGAATGGCAGATGGTTTAAATTTGATAGACCAGCGACAATCGCCCGCCTATGGAAAAGCCATTACTTTTTGATTTTCGTTATCGCCACAATAATTGGACGATAGGTAAAAATCACACTTTGTGCGACAGTTTTGTGTTACTGGGGTCACAAAGCGGCGTATGTCCTCAGAAACATTAACCTTAGGGTGAAAGTCCACATAAGAGCAGAAAACCCATAGAGTTCATGCAAGTTACACAATAACTACCTCCTAAACACAACATTTAGTGGATATCAGAAACAAAATCAAAATACCGGGGAAATTTTCACATTATATCATGTGAAGATGAGTATTATTAATTAATAGTAGTTTTGTAGATTGGGCTTAGTCGTTCTACTTTGTCAATACATTCTATGGACATTCGTCACGTGGTCAAAATTTTTGTGGACATTCGCCTCTTGGTCAAAACATCTGTGGACATACGCCACTTGATCAATTTTTGTGTGAACATTCGCCACCTGGTCAAAACATCTGTGGACATACGCCACTTGATCAATTTTTTTGTGAACATTCGCCACCTGGTCAAATATTCTGTGGACATACGTCTCTTGGTCACATTGCACCTTGCACTTGGACGTACGACATTTTCTGCCCAATGTGTAACTCGGGAACTATTATAGACTCGCTTCGCTCGCTGGGGGGCTCCGCCCCCCAGACCCC